AAATATTTTATAAATATTGTGTACTGTCCGAGTATATGTTATTAAACACAAAAATTTTTTTAATTTTTTAAATATAGTTTCCATTAAATTTCAATTAAAGTAATTAAATAATTAGGCATTAATAACAATTTTAAATAAAATAATATTTTTTAATGTTAATAATTCATTTAAAATTCCGAATTAATAATGTTAAAATTAAACAAAATGAAATTGTCTTCAATACCAACCTAAGTACACATTGTTTACATGTAACGTTCTTTGGTAGAACCAAGCTGATAGTGTAATCCTTTGCGACATTGATGGCAATGGAATATTTATAGCCTTTACCGTCAGCTCTTGGTAAGGGATACATATCGAAGCATTTATCGGTTTCTAATTCTTTATTCGTCTCCAATGGACAAAGGTTGAATTCAAACCAACCTAAGTGAGCGGCAGTGAGCTTAACGGTCACATCGATGACAGATCCTGTCTTATATCTCCGTAAAAGAAATATAATGTAATATACGCATTGACATATAATAATATAATGGTACATATAATAGTAGTCTAATATAAAAATATATATTATAATAGATTTTGGATACCTTTAGAATATCCAAATATATACCCAATAAAAGACGTATCTATATTTATTATAAAAAGTATAAAGATTCTTATATTTAGAGATTGAGACAATCCTTTAAAATTAAATCAGAATTGATTTTGAGTGAATATCATTAATTGTGAAATAAATCAAAAAATATATTAAATTCGTATAAAATTATCTTTTTTGAAATAAAAGCCAACATTAAGTACATATGTTCCTACAAAAGATTGACATTCAAAACAAGTTAATTTGTAATTCTCAGTACAATCTACCTTGTAAAACAAGGATAGATTAGGTCTGTTCGCGTTATTTGCACTTTTTGCACTCGGCATCTTCGCTTTCTCTCTTTTCAAGATCAAATATATATCTATCTCATTTTTAGTGCAAAAATATTTGGAGATTTTATGTAATGCGAACAGATCTAATCTAATCATCAATAGTGCTAACAGTCTCTCTAAACGCATCTGCAATCTAATTCCGTCATGCTTGTGACGATACCAATCGCTACAATATATACTAGTATATATTCTGTGATGCAAGACACGTAATTTCAATAAAAGATAGTTTAGAGAATATTTTATAACATTTTACAATATTCTTTATAATTATAATAATATATAATATATATATAATA